TACACTTTCAAGTTTGATGTTGCGGTCCTTGTACGATACTCCCGTGGAGCTTTTAAGATTAGGATTTGAGACAACAAAAATTTTCACATTACTCTCTACGTAACTGGTTTCTTCTGCCACCAATGAACTTTCTGTTTCAGTAGACCAATTCTCGATTCTTTTGAGCCTTTTCATCAATACCTTAAACCTCTATTTCTGGAGCTGTAGCGAACGCAGCACAGACACTTCATTGAATAAATGATCAAAAAATAATCACGAATATGGCTTTCCAAAGGAGTAAAAGCACTGTATATCAATAAATAAGTTTAGAGTAAGAAAATATGCTACTTTTAGAGCAGGAAAAAAACTTGTGTGATGTAATGTAAAACTGTTATCGACAAGTTTCTGAGAAATATGTCTCAACGTGCTAAAGAATTGAATGAACATACCGCATAACTAGTAGCATCAGAACGTGAATCGGTCTCAGTTCTTTCTTTTGTCGTATACATTTAGACAACGAAAGGTCTCCCAATATTTCTGTAATCTTTAAAGATATTTATAAGACATTATTTTATATTTTAATAACTAAAATGCAGCAGCTAACGAATGGCACACCTTTTTTTTTCCAGTGAGCTAAAGAATTCAACGCATTTAAACGAATGTTTGACAAAAATTTAAATGTTATAAAAGGCGAAAATATTGTAAGAAAAAAAGGAGTTTCTGCTGAGAAAAGGTCAAGCGTAAAAAATTGTAAATAGCTAAAAAAGCTTCTTCTTAAATACCAGCAAAAGGCATAGAAATTTTGAAGAGTGAACAAGTGTTTCAAAGTTAAAAGCATGGTAAATTCAAGCGTTTGAAAAAGCATACAGTTGTATAAAATCTAAAAATTTCTCACTGATCAGCAGCGATAAGCAAACAAACAGGGCTGACAACTCAACCAACTAACGTTTCATAAAAATCTTAACTCTCTTTTCTTCTTATCAGTCCTTGATATCAAAAAAAAAGCAAATGTCTAATAAATTTTTTGTTTGCGGCTTTACAATGCCATTTTTATCATCGAGGTTTAAATATGAAATCTAGCAAATAATTTCCCACACATTTTATATAAGCATAATGTTTTTTTATGCTTATAAAATAACGAAAAACTTTGACTAGATTTGGCAATTTTTCCCAGAACCTTGTTCACTTCTCAGGTGCTAATCTCCTGTATACCAGAACAGTTTATTCACAAACAGTGATCCTTTACGCTTAAAA